GATTGTGTGGCCCTTGGGGTTCAGGCGGGTTGGATGGGGAGCGCTTGCTAAGTGGGGTGTAGTCACTGTTTCCAATTTATAAAAGAAAACGGAAAATAAAAAAGGTTGGGTACTGGAGGACTGAGGGAAGGGTGTTCTTACCCTAGCGTTACCTGGCGCTGAAACAAACTTCAAAGTCAGCGTCTGAGGGCATGGTTCCAGTCACTGGTAACAGGGCTCGGTGTCGCTGCCGTGGTGTTGGCAGCCAGAGCTCACGGAAGCCCACAGTGGCTGTGCCAGCTCTCAGGGGCCCGAGCCAAAGGAAAGATCCTCCTGGCGGCTGTGTCCTGGTTTCAGCTGGGATAGAGTTAATTTTGTTCCTAGTAGCCGGTGCAGTGCTGTGGTTTGGTTTTAGTACGGGATATAATGCTTCCTCACTCCTGTGCGTCTTGACCTCTAATGAGCTGTGAGCTTTATCTGAGACATAAAATATATGCTCTGGTTTCTGTGGCAAAACCCTGCATAGCTTTTGTAATACGGAGCTACAAAGTAGTAGCTGGTTGATGATGATTTTGGGGTTGGAGGCTGAAAGTGTTCTATCACGCTTCATCTTGCTCCTACTCAGTTGACCCTGCTGAGAACACCCCTTGTCCCTCAGGCATGCTGCCTGCAGTAATTTTAGAAACATGAAATCGTATCTTGAATGTTTAAGCAGTTCTGTCTTTATTTTCTTGTGGAATTGTCATGTAGACAGAGCCTGCTTCCATATTTAATGCTGATGTTACTATTTTTGCTACCTCCGGTCTAAAACTTTTTGTGTTATTCTAGTGATGTATAATTTAGTCCATACTTTGTCCTGATCTCCAGTAGTATCTCATAGAATTCCCCACCTGATAATGCATTTTGTTTCTGTCATGCCAATACACTGCAGACATTTGGCTGCTTTACACAATACAATTAAAATACAGCAAAATTTCACATGGATGTAAGTAGTTAGACCAGTTAAATCGAGCAGAATACAAAAAAGAAAACAAAAAAAAAAACCCAAACAAACCACACCCTTTGTGGAAAATTTAGCAGAGCGCTTCACATGTCGGTATACATCTGCTATTTCCTTTGCTGGCATCTGTTCTTTTTCGAGCCTGACTCCATTTTTATAACTTAAATGTACATCAACGGGCAATAAACTATCCATTAAAATTATGTGAATGCAACTTTTTCTCTTTTCCCTCCTGTTTTCACACACTTCCTCCCAATTTTGGGGTATTGTTTGCTTGATTACACTTGCTACATTATTACTTATTTACTGTTATAATTTAATAATGAAGGTATTAATATTCTTCATATGCCAGATACAGTGATATCAGTTTCAGGTATATAATGTTGATTTGTGTGTGTGTGCATATGTGTATTTTTCATTGTGCTTATGATGCACTAAGCAAAAAAAGGAGAAAGAAGAGCAAAGTGGAGAAATAGAAATGGCCTTTTGAAGGATAAATCTAACCTATTTTTCATTAGGGATTTATTTCTTCTTTTTCTTTTAGACAAATGAAAATGAGACCTGGAGAGGTCCTTATAGACTGCTTAGAGTCTGTTGAAGATACCAAAGGAAACAATGGAGACAGAGGTAACTGCATGCTCGGGGAAACTGTAAGCTTTCTAATATTTAAAAAGTTCATGAAAGCACGATCTGGTTTCCATTGAATTCGCTAGCGATCGTCTGTTGCAGGTAATAACTCCTGCCTGTTTCACAGATCTGTCTCCCCTTGGAGTATTTTCAAATAGGATCTCTTGTTCAAAGTTATAGGAAGGTGATAATATTATCTGAGAATTTGTTTAGAGTTGAAAGCCTTGTAAGTATAATCCGTTTATAAACATTGTGTTGATCTTTTGCTGTGCTCCTGTTTAATACTTAGTTTTTTGTAACCTAGTTTAAGCTGAACCAGTAAGGAATATATATATTTAGTGTGCAAGGGCATGAAGCTGCCAGCAAGCTAAGATGACCCTTCCTGGGGTTGGATGTGTTGCTGTACAGGGTACAGAAGTGAAGAAATTTGCATGTGACATAGAGGGGTGAGGTTATTCATGAAGTCAGCTGTGGTAGTTAACTCACTGCCTTCCTCTTCTCCTCCCCAGAGCAGTTCTGTACTTGTCGTGTCTCTGCATTTTTACCATAGGCAGGTGGATATGAAATCAGTAACTGTTCTTGGTTTGGTTTTGAGGAATGCTGGTCTCTACTAGAGGTTGTTCCCTCTGTTCCTTGCTGGATTTTCTCTCCTAGCATTCAAAAGAAAAAAGCATTGTGATTTTCTGCTGCGGTGTCCTGTGCTTTTCTTTTTTTTTTCCTGTCAAGGGGAAGGAATATTCTGTTGTTTCAAGACTAGAGGTAATGTACTGCAGAATGGAAGTTAATCGGATTAAAAATATCTACACTCCTTATTTCCAGGTAGACTGCTTGTGACAAATTTGCGGATTATTTGGCGCTCGCTATCATTGCCCAGAGTCAATCTCTGTAAGTATCATCTCCTGTTAAACAACCGCAAAGTTCTTGCTTCCTCTGTGGTGGCATAATGTTCTTTCACAACTGCATTGATTACAATACAGAACAGTAAGGTATAGTTCTGTTGCTCTGTGAAGTGTGAAAAAAAACCTGTTACTAATGAATCTCTTTGTAATGTAGGAACTGTTATAATAATTCTTAGCAAAATATTAATATTCAGTGTTAATGTCACAAAATAGAAGTTGAAGAGTACTTCAGGTGTATTTTTCATTTGGCATAAGTGGGATTAATTGTTTTTTCTCAAAAGAAACAAAAGTTTGAATTTCTTTACACCCTGCTTTACTTGTTCTTCTTGTTGCCACCTGTTTACTACTCATATTCTATATTGTCCTACAGTTTTTATTCCCCACAAACACCTGCATTTCCAGATTTACTGTTGTAAGCTCTGAGCAAGCTTCTAATTTTAACTGTATGAGTAGCTAACAGGTCTCCTTATATTTAATTTCATTTGCTGAAACAGGGAGACTATGCCCTTACTTTGTACCCAAATAATTTTAAGTGCTCAGTTCCCAATAGCCAGGCAGTCCTGAAAATCTGTATTCTGTTCATAACCCAGAGTGGTTGTGGAACGTCCTTCTTTGGAAATATTCAAAACTCAGTTGGACAGTACCCTGAGCAGCCAGATAGAGTTGGTGCTGATTTGACAAAAACTTTGAACCAGATAACCTGGTACAACAGGGACAAGGTCCTTGTCAGCTTAGATTAGTCTTTGGTTTTGTGGTGAGGGACCAGAACATTAACAGCTTCGTGTAATTCTCACAAGTAGCATCCAAAGCTGTGCTACAAAATTCAGTACTTAATTTTGCTATTTTGACTTATATTTCCATGTTCTAAAAACTCTTCTTTTTTTTTTTTTTTTTTTTTTTATTTTATTTCCCCTGACTTTTAGCTGTTGGTTATAATTGCATTATAAATATAACTACAAGAACTGCCAACTCAGTAAGTTTCAAAACATACATCTTAAAATAATAAAGCTGTAATTCATTGTTTATACCTATTGCAGTGTATTTCAATAATAATCTGGAAGTTTACTTGCAAGAACAGTAATAGAATAATAATGGAAGTTTAATTTAAAAGTTGAGTGTACATTTTTATGGGAGTGTGGCTTAGTCAGTTTCCTAAGGCAGTAAAACTGGTGTAATCACACTGGTGATTTCTTCTCCCCTCTAGGTAAGTCAAGCATATGTTGGTTCATTGTATCTAAATGAGAAGTCTAGATAGGCACTAATTTTGTGCATGAAAACACTTCAGTACATAGCCTGAATTTCATGCAACCGTAAAGCAATTTGGCTTGCAGCAAAGAAAAAGCGGGGAGATTATGTAGGTTTCTTGGGGAGCCACATAGTAACAAACCCAAAAATACTGTTTCAGTCATGATATTGCAAATATGTAGCAGGCAGGTTTATTAGTTCTGCAGCTGATGGAATTGTTACTTTCTCAAAAAAAACCCAAAACCTAGTTCAGTTGAAGACAGCAGTACGGCAGTGGTAGGATTGTAATTTCAGATATACTATTTAAAACAGGAATTTAAAAAATAAGATTATTTATTGTAAGTACAGTCAAGCTACTTTATTGTCAAAATGCTAAATTTCATCTCTTGCTTACAGAAATTACGAGGGCAGACAGAAGCTCTGTATATATTGACTAAATGTAACAATACCCGGTTTGAGTTCATATTTACCAATGTTGTCCCCGGCAGTCCCAGACTCTTCACTTCAGTTATTGCTGTGCACAGGTAGCATACTTAAAATAGTGTTTGTTCATTTATAAAATTCAATGAATTGAATATGTGGGATTACTACTGCTGATGGACCAAGTAGGTAACTGACATCATATGTTAATGTATGTTATATATTAATATATAATTATTTACTTAACATTCAGAAAACTTTTCCAAAAGAGTAGAACACAATCTCTACAAGGAAGGGAGAGAATGATTGCATATTCTAGTAGGTAACTGCGCGTAATGAAAATTAATGTTGATTAATAGCAGTCATTGATCACAGTTTATACACTTTGTATGTATAAACTATCTGAACAAATAAAAGCACAGAAGAGCTAATTTTGGTGTGCACTTTCTATCTATATTTTCTGTCTATAATAATTTACCATAATTTTGGACCACGTAATGGTCCCCCCCAAAAAAAAAGAGTTATATCCTGGTCAAAACTCCAATTGATGACAAAACAGTGGATGTTTTCCACCTAAAGTCATCCAGATGAATGGGTGCATAATACATTACCATAGGTTTCTATTTAAGAGCTGAGGAAAACAGGCGTACATATATATTGCTTGTTTGTGACTTACACGGCACTGAAAAAAGCATTCTTGTATAACATCAGATCTAGAAGACTTATTCTTTGCAATAGAGGTGGAGAAATTACTACCCTTAAGGAAAAGAAAGAAATAGTATGCACGTGAGGAGTACAGGAGATCAAAACAGATGCCAAAAAAAACCTTTTAAAATGTTTAAAGATAACTTCACTAAAGAAAAGTAAAATGTTATGGTTTACACTGATGAAGTTTCCATAGTACTCTTCATTTTTTGTGCAACATGGTGATAAAGTTGAAAATATACAGCATTTCGTATTTGTGCTTAAACAAACAGTAAAGATAATAGAAAATGCTTAAATGGTAACGTGTATTTTTTTATTTTTTACAGAGCTTATGAAACTTCTAAAATGTATCGTGATCTGAAGCTGAGAAGCGCACTGATTCAAAACAAGCAACTGAGATTACTACCACAAGAACAAATATATGATAAAATCAGTGGAGTTTGGAATTTGTCAAGTGACCAGGTATAGTGAAAAATGAGACTATGTTGACTACAGCAACATTAAAAAGTTTTGGCTTTCAATGTTTTGGTTTTGTAACCTCAGAGGAATTACCCTTAATTCAGTTCATCAGCTGATGCATGTAGAGAAGCTGATCCCATATATTTGTTACTCAGTACAACAAAGTCTCTTTTGGCAACCTGAAGTCTACATGACTTGGCTAATATGCAAGGAACTAGATACCCAGTTCCTGTTAAAAAGATATATTTATCTTTTTAAAGCTCTCTATCATCCTGAAGGACAATCATGTTGTTTCCAAAGTGCTCCTCTGAGTATTGTAAATTTAAGCGCAGCTTTGATTACAGTGTAAGACTATATATTGTGTTTTGATTATTGGAAATTGAAAATATTGGAATAGGAATCTATGTCTTAAAATATGGAAAAATAAAGATGCTAAGGAAAAAGTAGAAGACATTTATATTCTTTTACAGGGCATTAGTTGCAAGTATTTCCCAGAGCCATGAAACAAAATGGGAGCTGTTATTTCTGCCTGTGCACTTTTAGTCCAGAATGGAAATAGGATCCATCCTGTCACGCTAAAAAGTTTTTTCCTCTACATTCCCTTGGCACACATCTGCACAATTGCCTAAGTTTAACCCACATGCCATTGTGCTTATGCTATACGCCAATTCCAGATCTGTACAGTTAAGAACACGCTGCATGTACTCCCGTGAAGTCTGCTATGCTGTGATTTGATCCTGCTTAGTTGCAGTAATGGGTACTCCCAGCTATTTTCAACACTTGGGCACTGTATCATTAAAAGATTGGCTCTTGTTCCCTTACAATCAACAGAAGCATTTTTACTGGTTTTGGTGGGAAATAATCAGGCTTTTATTAAATTAAATATGAAGCTGTATCCTGCTTGTGTTTAAATGGATAACAGTGATCATTGTATTTGGGGTAAAAAAAAGGCTGTATACTTCAGAGCAGTTTTAACATGGCTTTTCTTTAATAGGGAAATTTGGGAACTTTTTTTATCACTAACGTGAGAATAGTTTGGCATGCAAATATGAATGACAGCTTTAATGTCAGCATACCATATCTACAAATTGTAAGTATCTTAACCATTTTCAAAATGAACTGGCATGAGTTTGTCTTCAGTTAAAACTCTCAGCTGACCAAAATTAGTATTTCATGTCCAAGTCAGGGAGGAATTTATTCTTACCAGCATCAACCAAAGGGTAGTTATTGGCGGGGGGGAGGGTTCTGGGGGGAGGGTTGTAGGATTTTTTTTGTGTTTGTGTTTATTTTTGTTGTTGTTGGGGGTTTTTTTGGTTGGTTGGGGTTTTTTTTTGGTTGGTTTAGGTTTTTCCTGTCCAGATTAACAGGGGGCTTTCATTGGCAGGTACAGATGTTGAAAATGGCTTGCATTTCCAATTTTCAAACTGTTTACTGTGATGTTTCAAGCCACCTACATACACTGAGATTAATGATCTCTGATCCTGATGTTCAGAAATGAACTGTTACCACTTCTGAAAAAGACACTTTTCCCTGAGGTTCAGATTTGCAGTGGTAAATGGGAGGGAATGCTGGGAGCCAAGCTTCCAGAACCAGTAATTATACTAAGTAGTGTTTAGAAATAAAAAAAAAAAAAAAAAGAAAAAAAAAAGAAAAAGATGAGGCAGATTTTTATCAAGTAACTCCAAAATCTTTACCAAAACATTTTTACCTCTTTACCATAACATTTTTACCTCTTTACCATTAGCGTTCAATAAAAATAAGAGACTCAAAGTTCGGCTTGGCACTTGTGATAGAGAGTTCTCAGCAGGTAAGAAGCTTCAATAGCCTTTCTTTTCATTGCTTACGTTTTCATATATAATAGTTGTCTAATTCCAAAACGTTACAGGGCTACTTTTAAGGTACTTAGTATGCCTTCTGTGGGGCCTTTGGAACACAACGTTTAAAAAGCACTCTTTGCACTGCTTAAAATGTCTGTGTGTTAAGATCGATATGGCTGTTGTGAGTTAGGGTTTCTCTAAGCAAAACAGCAATGGTCCAGCATGACTGGTTAAGTAAAATAACTGTTAAAACCAGTGTTAAACAGTATTTTCTGTCAGATTGTCTTTTGGATCTAATTACTTCTATACTTAATCAAGACCACTATTTTTACTCTTTTTCACTTGTGTTTGTGTTTTGCTCTAAGAGACTAAATTATTTTTCTTCAATTTGATTTTAATCATAAATGCGTTTAATGGTAGTATTTCTTTTTAAAGTTCAACTAACTTTATTTACTGTATCTGAAAGTTTTTTTTAATAACAACATCAAGATGTAACAGACCAAACATTTGCTGAGTAGCTAGGAATAAATCATTAGTATCACTTCTGAATTTCTCACATGCTTGTTTGCTTTTGGTTTTCTGTGTAAAAAGTTTGTTGCCCATTTATATTATGTCAAAAAAAGTTGTTTAAAGAATAAACAACACCAATAAATGTCTCTTTTTACATTTTTTTTTTGTCTGTTATATAGAGTGGAGGATATGTGCTTGGTTTTAAAATAGACCCTGTGGAGAAACTACAGGAGGCAGTGAAAGAAATTAATTCACTTCACAGAGTTTATTCCGCTAACCCTATATTTGGAGTGGATTATGAAATGGAAGAAAAGGTACGCTACTATTTAAATTTGATACATTATTGTATTAACAGCAGTAATAAAAATGTACTAAACATATTAGATATGTGGATTTCCCTGCCCATGGCTGGGGGGTTGGAACTAGATGATCTTAAGGTCCTTTCCAAACCAAACCAAACCATTCTGTGATTTACTTACTTCAGTGTTCTAATTTGCAGCCTCAACTTCTTGAAGATCTAACTGTGGAGCAGGTTCAAGATGATGTGGAAATAGAAGCTGATGAGCATACAGATGCATTTGTGGTAAGCTGCTCCACAGAAAACTACAACATAGAATACTTCTTGTTTGGTTATTCAAGTGTAAAGCTTGTAATCCTCTATTAAAGATAAGCTACAACCAAACTTTCTATATTTAAAACACATCTACACACCTTTTATTCAAAATGCTGATCGCTACAGGTATTTATTCTGTATGTGGATTTTTAACTTAAGAAGAAACTATTATTCAATATAATTAGTAGTACGTATTTAAAGCAATAGTTGTGTGTAGTTTCTCAACACATTAAGATCAGGAATAACTTGAAAACTAGCAGTATAATATAATCAAATACGTTATATTAAAACAAGTCTTCCTTGGAGCAGATTAATAGATGGTGTTACCTGTATGCTCAGCATTCATCTAAGATTCAAACTTTCTGATGGAAACATTTTTAGAAAAGCAGCAATAATTTTGGGTCACTCCTGGCAACGTTTGCGCTCCTGATGATACCAGTTTAGCAAACTGTATTCCTGTTTGTGTCCAGTATTTGAGGAAAGGTTACTTTTAATTAGGTTGCTTAATGACCTTCTTTCGAGGAATTTCCAAATTTACTCTGCAATCTAGTAACACCTGACTATGTGGCTGAGACCTGATAGCCTGAAGAGTTTGAGACTATTTCCACACACACAGAATGGGAAAGATTGTATCTCTTTCCCAGATCCTGTCTGAGAGTAGAAAAATTTGGTTAATTGTTCAGTTACTCTGTGTTTGTTTCTTTAGATTGAGTATGATGTTAACTGAAACTTGACTTTAATCACGCATTTTAAGTTAGGTTTTGAAATTGGATAGTAAATGCTGCTGCACCTGAGACAAAAAATGCTAGAATGCTGTCAGTTTGCATTCATATAAACATTTTATTCCCTTTATTTTTCAGTGTAACGAATGTAATATGGATATTTTACCATTTAAAAATCTTTATTTATTATGACGGAAAACTCAAAGATTGGTATTTAATGAGAAACAACATAATCACCAACTCCTGTTAGAACTCTCTTGTAAATTATTTCAATATAGAAAAAACTGTTCTTACACAGACTGATTTGTTGAAGACAGCTTAGCAAATACAGTTTCAACCCCAAGGAATTATTAGTAGACTTGTTTTTAGACTTTTTTTCCCAAGGTTTTGAATTCTTTTTCCTTTCTTTTGCAGGCTTACTTTGCTGATGAAAACAAGGTAAGAACATCTTTTTTTTCCTACTATCAAATTCATGTTGTTAAAATGGGATAATAAAATTTAAAAGTACCTTCTGCTTTATTTTGTCTCATACCTCGTGCATTCCAAAAAGCAACATGATGGGGAGCCTGTTTTTTCAGAAGAACTAGGACTTGCAATAGAGAAGCTGAAGGATGGATTCACACTCCAGGGACTCTGGGAAGTAATATCCTGATTCAGATTGTCGCATATTTGTTTCTTAAGCAAGGAAGGACTCAGTTCTTACTGGGCTTGTGAGATCTGTAGAAGATAATTTAGAAATACCAGAGTAACAGATAAAAAGTTACATGCCAAAGAATGGGCAAATATTGGATAGTATGCCCTTAGGATATATCATAAAGGAAAGATTATTCAAAACCCTTGTATGTGTAAAAGTGTTGTATTTATTACATTGTGTAAACAGCTGGAGGGCTACCAGTATCTAATATAAGAAGGGGCAGGGCCCCAGCTGCTGGTGGAGGCCGAGCCCCCTGCAGGCACTTACACGTTCCACAGGCCCCAAGAGTCCTGCCCGTCCTCTGGTCACACAGTGTAAGGCCCCAAGAAGTTCCTCCTCTCTGCGAGGCTGTAAGGACCTGGAAGTCCCTTCTCATTTCATTTCCGCTGCCATTATGTAAAATGTCATATGCCACGTTTTCACTCTGCTTTTGATTGGCTGACTGTGGGGTTTGATACAGTCATACCCCACGTGTTTTCAGGCTTGTGACTGACAGGACCAGCCATTCCATCCTGCTTCCCCCAGAAGGTGGTCAGAGCAGGAGCCCCCTTCCTCTAACAACGCAGGGTTTCAGCCACCATTTTACAGCAGGTAGCCACGATTTATTTTATTTTACAACTTTGTGGCCCATGTGTTTGTATACTGCCCTGCGATGGGCTGCCAGCACCAGCCACCACTTGCCATTTCACCTGGAAGTATGTTGGAAAAGGAAGTCTCCTCTTCCTTATACATGTCGACCACCGTTAGAGATAGCGCAGTGTGTATGGTTTGTAGTTTGATGCTCAGTTTAAAGTATTTAATGTATTTATACACAATGATGTATCTTCCCATAATGCTTATATCTACACTGAAGATCCAGAACTTGTTAAATGTTGTGCAACGTAAAAATATCGTCACGCAGAGCATTTTGTATCTAGGCATATTGGCTGTGTCATTGCAGCCGTGCTGTGTTACTGATAACTTTGACAAAAAGCAGTACTGTTCCAAATACTAGTTTTGATGTCTCATAGTCTTGTTAAATGTTCAGCACAAAAGCACATATCATTCCAGATACTTAATCATATTCCAGATATCCTCGTACAGTTCTTTCTTTCTTTTTGGAGTTTTGCTTAGGGTTTTTTTTTTTTAAGGAGGGATCTAGAAAAAAGTGCACACGCAAATAGGTTCTGTGTCTGAGTCATTAGACCTTTATGATGCTATGTATTAGAGAGAAATGAGTCATTTATTGTTTAAAGGAAGATGCAGCTGTTACGTTTTCTGGTGAGATAAGACCTCTGCGCTATTTTCTATAAGTGGAAAAAGTCAAATGAGCCCTTCTATCAGCTGTTGTTTTAGCAGCTGACTGTTAATAGTAAAGTAACTGTGGTGTGAATGTAATTGTGGTGTTTGTCAAAAGTCTTTCAAGGTATGTGTTTTAGTGAAATACCACCTCTGTTGAAAAGCAATCACTATTTCAATAAACTTTGATAATGTTATACCCTGCTGTTGATTTTGCATTCAAACAGTTGTGTTTTGATCCTGTTTCTATTACTTTTAAAGACCATTTTACCATATGAGTGAAAAGCAATCTTTGTATGGGCAAAGCACAGTCCTTCATGAAGGTATGTTAAACAACTTACAATTTCAAATTTGTTTTGGTTCTGTATTACCATCTTTAAATAAAAATCTAATTGTTCCCAGTCTAAATCGTGAAATGTTCAACATAGGCATATTTTTTCTAAATTCACATTCACTTTTCAAATTACTTGTCTGATTTTGGGCTTTTTTAGTTTAAATTCAGATTTTTCTTTCTGGTTTTTTAAATTACACATCTGCTAAATAATGTTAACTTGGTGAATTACAAGTTTTTTATTCTCTGTTCTACTGTTCCTATGTACTAGTTTTGGTTCAGTTTAATAGCAGTTAGCACCATTTCTAGTACAGTGAAATTTAAAAGGATTGATAATGTCCAGAGTATCTGAAATGAAGAATGATGTTTATGAAGAGGTGTGGAGACTTAATTTTAAATTATTTTTGAAAGCAGAACTTTACCTGAATAATGCATCTTTTATGTCTGAATAGTAGGAGTTTGTTTACAAATAAATACAACCAAATGGATATGAAGAAGAAGCTCAGAATGAATTTCAAAGTCTTATTATCAATATCTGAAGAAATCGCATCTGTGATATGTGTATGTAAAAAAACAATTCTAAAGCATAGATAATTGATGCAAAGTTCTGGAGATTTTTAGTATCTTTATGTATTAAACAACTCGGAAACAAACTGAACAGTAATTGCAGCTGACAACTTGATTAACAATATTTCTGTTTCAGAATATTTGGTAACACATATATTTACAATCTTGCTCATAGCTGTCTTACTGAGGGTCACATTCTGCTGTCCTTACTCGTCTCAAGTAATTTCTTACATTGCACGTAATCTCATTGATTCAGTGTGGAGCATGATGGCAAAACCTGACCATAGCAACTAAAAGCAACAGTTGCTTCTTTCACTCTTTGACAGCTGCGAGAGCAGCTCTGTTTTTCCAAACCAGCCATCCTAAATTCCGACCTGTAAGAGTATGTACCTATATTTAGTTAGTGAGATTAAATTGCAGAGGCTTCAGGCAGGGCAAAGCACATTGGTCTGCCTTTTTTACAGACAGACCTTTGGGCAGACAACAGCTAAAGCTTTCTGCTCCCTCCCCTTTCCCAAGTATTTGCGAAATGGATTCCCAAAGGGAACTCACTGAAGAGCTCAGACTTTACCAATCCACCCTTCTTCAGGATGGCCTCAAGGAACTCCTCGAAGAGAAGAAGTTTGTAGACTGCTCTCTAAAAGCTGGTGACAGAAGCCTACCTTGCCACAGATTGATTCTGTCGGCATGTAGCCCTTATTTTCGTGAGTACTTCTTATCCGAGCAAAATGAAGAGAAAAAGAAAGAGGTGGTTCTAGAGAATGTTGACCCCAACATCCTGGATATGATTGTCAAATACCTTTATTCAGCAAGTATTGATCTTAATGATTCTAACGTGCAAGATATTTTTGCTTTGGCCAGTCGCTTTCAGATCCCTTCTGTATTCACTGTGTGTGTCTCCTACCTTCAGAAGAGGCTTGCTGTTGGTAACTGTCTGGCCATCCTTCGATTAGGCGTTCTGCTTGACTGCCCAAGACTTGCATTTTCTGCCCGTGATTTTGTTTCAGATCACTTTGTGCAGATCTGCAAAGAGGAGGACTTCATGCAGCTTGCGCCGCATGAACTTATCTCAGTTATTTCACCTGACAGCTTAAACGTAGAGAAGGAAGAACTGGTATTTGAAGCGGTAATGAAATGGGTCCGAACAGATAAGGAGAACAGAGTAAAGAGCCTGGGGGAAATTTTTGACTGCATACGTTTTCGTCTTATGCCAGAAAAATATTTCAAAGAACATGTTGAGAAGGATGATATAATCAAAAGCAACTCGGACCTCCAGAAAAAAGTAAAGATTATTAAGGATGCTTTTGCTGGAAAACTGCCTGACTCTAGCAAAAGTACAGAAAAGTCAGCGAAAGGGGAGGTGAATGGCGATGTGGGAGATGAAGATTTACTGCCTGGCTACCTGAATGACCTTCCCAGGCATGGCATGTTTGTCAAAGACCTAATTCTTCTGGTTAATGACACTGCTGCAGTAGCTTATGATCCTCTTGAAAACGAATGCTACCTAGCAGCCCTGGCAGAGCAGATTCCCAGAAACCATTCCAGTATAGTCACCAAACAAAATCAGGTCTACATTGTTGGAGGACTGTATGTGGAAGAGGAGAACAAGGATCAGCCTTTCCAGTCATACTTCTTCCAGGTATAAGCTTCATAACTGGTGCAAAAATAGGTGCTTAGAGTTACTGAAAGGTATTCTGAGTCTATGCGAGTTGTTTAGTCTCTCTGTACAGTCAGTGGAGAGCAGTGTCTGTAAAGAGCTATTCCTGTCTCAGATAAACAAAACTAAGGGACTTGCATCTTCTCTTTCAAGATCAGCCCCTGGTGAGATCTGAGAAGAGATGAAAAGGGTTAGTGTATTGTATCTAGGAACTAGCCCTCATTGTTTTAAGGCCCAGATTTTTCATGGTACAGATGCCTAAATTTAAGCCTAGTAATACTTTTGTAAAACACCTTTTGTGAATTCCCGTTAACTTCTATGAAAGCCGAGTGCTTTGCTGCTTTAGACCTAATGAGATGTCTTTCTTTTTTTTGCATCTGAACTACTTTTGTGACAGCAGTAACGTGCGTATTTTAAATGCCACTTTTGTCAATAAAATTCCAGAAGTCCTTTTGTCGCATCTACATTGGAAACAGGAGGGCATTCTAAAAATACAGAATTTAGCGTTAGAAGGTTGTTTTCTTGGCAAACTGTCAATGGCAGTACACTAAATACCATCTTTCAACCAAAAGCATAATTCTGTATCTTTGTTAGTCTGTATAAATATAAGGCTGATTAATACAAACTGTAACTTCCACAACATGTTGCAGAAAAACTAACAAGAATACAATCTGGCATGCGTACACCATAACCTGGTGTGGTTTGAGCTTCCTGCCTACATGCTTGGGGGGATAAACTATCTCCTAATAAATTATGCAATATGCTGCTGTCCATGTCCTGTCTTTAGGCACATTGGCCTAAGAGAATGAAAGTAGGTCCTGTTTCAATATGATATAAAGCAGAATGATAAGCAGTGATGGAATTTTAAAGCCTTCACATATTAAAAAATGCAAATATTAAGTGTTTATAGGAGTATGGCTCACTACAATTTCACACACAGTGAAAGAGTTGGTTTCAGGCGTTTATTGTATCTATGAGAGGGAAGTCTTAGTTTGCTAGAGAGGGATTAGCACTGTTTCATTTCCTTAGGTAGGTGTGAAACACTGATCACTGAAGTGCAAACGTTGTTACAGAAATATTATTCTAATAGAAATACTGTGTTGATGTCATAGCATAATACGATGTCATAATATAATCTAGAAATAAACAGTCCATGTCTCAGGCTACTAGAAAGTGGCCTCTGAAAAACTGAATTTGAAGACTGATATTAAAAATTGATGGAGTCTTCAGAATCCTAGTTTATA